CAGCAGTGCTGTGCAGGGTCAGCTGAAGGATGTGAAGCAGATTCAAGCTACGCGCTACGCGTTTGCTGCCATTCTGGGCGATGGGTCTGTTGTGAGCTGGGGATGTGGTGGCGACTGCAAACATGTTCAGGATCAGCTGAAGGACGTGCGGCAGATTCAAGCTACGGACGGGGCGTTTGCTGCCATTCTGGGCGACGGGTTTGTTGTGACCTGGGGTGATCCACGCCAGGGTGGTGACAGCAGTGCTGTGCAAGTTCGGCTGAAGGACGTGCACCAGATCCAAGCTGCATCAGGAGCTTTTGCTGCCATTCTGGGCGATGGGTCTGTTGTGACCTGGGGTGATGCTGCTGCTGGTGGCGACAGCAGTGCTGTGCAAGGTCAGCTTAAGGACGTGCAGCAAATCCAAGCTACCTTTGCAGCATTTGCAGCTATCCTGGGCGATGGGTCGGTCGTGAGCTGGGGTAAGGCTACGTGTGGTGGCGACAGCAGTGCTGTGCAAGCTCAGCTTAAGGACGTGCAGAAAATCCAAGCTACCTTTCAAGCTTTTGCAGCCATTCTGGGCGATGGGTCGGTCGTGACCTGGGGTTATGGTTATGGTGGCGGCATCAGTGCTGTGCAAGGTCAGCTGAAGGACGTGCAGCAACTCCAAACAACCGGGGCAGCTTTTGCAGCCCTTCTGGGCGATGGGTCTGTCGTCACCTGGGGCCATGATGATGCTGGTGGTGCCAGCGGTGCTGTGCAAGGTCAGCTCAAGAACTCGTGGTAGATTCTTAGTGGATGCTGACATTGCTGTGCAGCGCAGTAAAATGTGCCCACTTCCGAGTCCCTAAGCTTACCCCCCCAAACCCTAAACTCCTAACCCCTAAGCCCCAAACCCTAAACTCCTACACCCCAAGCCCCGGCCCCTAAATCTGATTTTGCAACCGAAGCCCGGCGGGAATTGGGGCTCCTCGAGGCAGTAGGGTCGAGACTCTTGTTTAGGGTTTGGGTTTAGGGTTTAGGGGGTTTAGCGGGTTTAGGGGGCTTAGGGGGCTTAGGGGGTTTAGGGTTTAGGGGGTTTAAAGTTTAGGGTTTAGGGTTGATTGCCCATCTGCACTGGAATCCTGCATCGAGCACCAATGAAGTTGTTGGGGCCTCAGGTCAGTGATGCTACAGACGATTCCTGCATGAGCTCTCGACATTAGAATCATTTCGCTCCTATAGAATACGGCAATCTACGAAAAACAGAGCCCCAAGAGGAATCACCTAAACCCTGAACCCTAAACCCGGATCCCTAAACCCTAACCGCAAACGATTCCTGCATGTCCCTGTGCGTCTTTGTTCATCTACGGGTTGATCGCTTCCGGTGGTGGCCCAACAGCAAAAACACGTTCATCTGTTGCCCTGAAGCCTAAACCCTAAACCACCTAAGCCCGAAACCCTAAAGCCCTAAACACAAAGAAGCAACCAATACCCTAACCCCACGCCCCGCAAGCCCGAAACTAAACCCTGAACCCTACACCCTTAACCCTAAACCCTAAGCCCTAAACCCTAAACCCTAAACCCTAAACCCTAAACCCTAAAGCCTAAAGCCCTAAACCCTAAACCCGCCAAAGCTGCAGGTGACCGTAAGAAGGTCGATGACTGGTTTGAGCGCGAGATGTGGATCGCCAAGAACGGAGCCTTGCCTTTCAACACAGTGACCTTTCGGTTTGGGGTTTAGGGTTTAGGGTTTAGGATTTAGGGTTTAGGGTTTAGGGTTAGGGGTTTGGGGTTTGGGGTTTCGGTTTGGGGTTTAGGGTTTTGGGGGCTTTAGGCTTGTTTGCAACCCTCATGGGCTCTGAACATCGTCTGATCCTATCTTAAGGCCTTCAACCCCTAAGCTCTAAACTCCAGCGCTGACGCTTTGCACCCTGAACCCTTTAAACCCTCCAAACCCCGAACCCTTAAAGCCCTCCGCCCCCAAGCGTTAAGGTTTATGGTTCCAATTTAGGGTACAGGTCCAGGTGTAGAGTTTAGGGTTTAGGGCCTACTGTAGGGTTTTTGGCAAGCCTCCAGCCCACAGAATGCAGGGAGGATTCAGGGTTTAGGGGGGTTTGGGGTGCCTGGTCGCGCCCAGGCAGCCTGGTCTACTGGAGTAAGAAAGAGGACCGCGTCTTGGATGCAATCCGAAATGCCGTAAGCCCGGAATCCTAAACCCTGCACCCTGAGCCCTACATTCCTAGACCCTAAAAAGCCCTACCTTCCCAAACTCGAAGCCCCTAAAGCCCTAAGCCAGAAGTCCCTGAACTTTGAACCCTAAGCCTGAAGGTTGCATGCGCATCCCGTCAGTTGGCTTAGAGCTTGTTGTTTAGGGTTTAGGGTTTAGGGTTTAGGTTTAGGTTTCCGGGGTCCAGGGCTTAAGGGTTTAGGGGTTCAGATGGGTTCAGAATTCCAGGGTTCAGGGCTCGAGGGTTTTGGGTTTTTAGACTTCAGGGGTGTCAGGGCTTTCGGATTTTAAGGTTGTAGGGGATCAGGGTGC